CTAGAGAAAAAAGTGTAATCTCTATCTCTCATGTTGACAATTCTCCAACTATCCACCAGTTGGCACTCTTTCATCACCGTTTTCAATAATCCCATGGACCTATTTCCCCCTTTCTGCACTCTAGATGTTGTATCTATTTGTGGATCCATACATATGTTAAAGTCTCCCGCCACTATTAGATATCCTTTTCCAAAGTCCATCAATCTTCTCATAACCCCTTTCAAAAACATCTCTGGCTTCCTGTTAGGGCAATATATGTTTACAAGCGTACATTCTATGTCTTGTAGTTTACCTTTCAAGAACAAATACCTCCCCTCCGGGTCCGTCTTTCTATCTTCCATTTCAAACCTAATGTTTTTTGCAAATCCTATAGCTACACCCTTAGCTCTCTTAACTGGGGAATCTGCATAATACCATGTCGGGTGTTGTCTAGAGTTTAACTTAATATTTTTTTTTAACTCTAGATGTGTTTCCTGCAAAAAGACAACTGAGGCCTCTCTATGTTTCAATTCTCTGTATAATCTAAATCTTTTACCTGGGCAATTTAATCCATTTACATTATGGGTTAAAAAGCGTATTTCCTCCATATTTTATTTGTCTTCTTCCTATTTTACCATTTCCTTTCTTCTTCCCCTTCTTTATACCTCTTCTCTCATACAAGATGTCAGTTTTAAAACCCCCTCTCCCTGCTCCCTCCCCAATTCTCTCCCTCCCATCCACTCCCTTCTCCCTTTCCCTCCCTTTCCCACCCCTCCCTTATTTAGGCTTTCCATTTGCCTATTCATCTTTTGAGGGACCCACCCCTCCATAGATGTAAACCTTGGGGTTGAGCTCTACCCATACAAGGCGCCCTCTACCCCCCCCCCCCCCCCCCCGATACCCTTGGACTATCTTTAAGATTTCATTAAGTTCCAGCAAAGTTCTAGAGTCTCAGAAGAAGAATATTATAAAAAAAAAAAAACCCCTTCTATATTGATAAAGAGAAGGAGAAAGGGGGAGAGAGGGGGAGAAGAAAAAAAAAAAAAAAAAAAAAAACCTCAAATCTCCCCTCTCCCCTCAATCTCCCCTATTTATGTCCTTCTTCTAACTAAATTCCACTCTTCTTTTTTTTTTTAGCTTCACAATCCCCTCTTTCCTCCTCCCACCCTGGGATCTCCACTATTTGTAAATCGAGTCTCTTAAAAAAGTCTCTCAAGTCTTCAGGGAATCTCAAGTGGGCTGTAACTCCGTTCTTCCACCCAATTAAGCATTCTGGTATACCCCATCTATAGTGCACATTCTGCTTTTCTCATTTGCTCTAATAGGGGTTTCAAAGTTCTCCTTCTCCATATTGTCTCTGATGTCAAATCCGCATAAATCTGTATATCCATATCTTTATATTTGATATTTGCTTTTCCTTTTGTCTTTTTCCAAATCTCTTCTCTATCACCTCTTATCTGGAATTGGACAATTATATCTCTTGATTTCTCTATTCCACCTCTTTGTTGCATTCTTCCTACTCTATATGCACCTTCAAGATTCACCGCTTCTGTTTCTGGTTTATCCAATATAAAGTTTATAATTCTACATATTATGCTACGTATCTCTTCTCCCTTTATGAGCTCTGGAACTCTTCTTACTCTGAGATTGTTTCTCCTCTCTCTATTTTCTTGTACCTCCATCTTATAGAGTAGTCTCTTTTGTTCTTTCCTGATATAGATTGTTCTCTTTTCCAGTTCAGATATGTCATGGGTGTGGTTTTTAACTCTTTCCTCCGTTTCCTCTACCCTCAGTAATATCTGCCCCAAATCACTCCGAATATTGACCATTTCATGCTTTATCGTTCTTTCTAAATTTTTAAACATATCCGCCATCTCCTTCTTATTTGGGACTTGTAGCTCCTTTTCTAACTCTCTTATCTCCAAATTTTCCTTTGTTTGTTGGTTGCTATGTTGTATTACTACTGAGGGTTTAGGGCTATCTTCCAAGCTTATTTCCAGTTCACTTTTTTCCCCAATCACTTGAGACCTTTCTGGGGTCATATTGCCTTGAGACGTATATTTTTTTTATTGTACTTGTCTGAGACCCCTTTGTCCCACTACATTTCACGCTTTTATTTTTCATCTTCTAGGCTCTACTTTTCCTCCTTTTCTCCTTATTCGCACTTACGAAGGCTGGAACCACAGTAAAATCTAGACTCCTTGGGCCTGGTGGTCAAATTTCAATCCTCTTTATTATTTTATCCATTTTTCCAAGTTATGTCTTTTCTATATCTTCTTATCATATTTAAATCACTTGCATACTCTCCCAGGGAATCCCCCCCTTTTACGTATCCTCTTTAACTTTCCATGGACAATATATTTTTATACAGTTTTTACCATTCCAAACTGCCCACACTCACCCTCTCCTTGTAGTTCTCTCCAGTGAGTTTGAGTCAGTTTGGGCCACCGACATAGACCTTTAATCTTCTTTTTCTTCAGGGGGATTCCTGTGGGCTTCTCCTCTTGTAATTTGCTTCCCAGTCCTCTATCAGTTAATATCTCTTCTTCCAGGGGCGCTGGGGGCTCATTCTCTGGTTAAGACACGGTACTGGGGGGGAGAGGCATCGGCGTCTCTCTCCTTCCTCGGGCCCCGGCCGGCCGGCTTTCTCCCCTTCCCAGAGCTCCTCTGCGGCAGGTCGTGTGATCACGGCCCGCCTCCTCGTCCTCCCAGCAGCCCCTCTCCTTGGGTCGCACCTCCTCCAACTTCCTCGTCCCGGCTCGCTCCCTCTCCGATGCAGCCAGGATCGCCACCCACCGACCCGGTCACCAGTGGGCAAATCCCCGGCCCAGCGTCTCCATCTCCACAGGCATCCGAGGTAAGGCAGGGGTATCAGGGAGCACTCACTCCGTGCTCATTCACGCCGCCATAGCCAGGCTCCGCCCAGCTTGTTCAATTAAGCTTTGACAATAAAACCTAGAAGTAAATAACCCCCACAGTATCCATATGTGTATATCTGTTCTCAGGGGACAGGGCTTCACTTCACCTGTGCCACATAACACGTTTGAGGACCATCGTCCCTGATAGCTCCTAACACATCCTCAGGAAAATATATTTTTCATCAGAAGACAGACCTAATGCTTTTACTAAAGCCAGCCATAGCCAGTTCATATCTCAGCTGGTTCAGGAGGGACTGACTGAGATTCGAACCATGTATGAGCAGGCTGAATGTACCCAGGTTAATCGATCGATCAACTTGGGTACAAACAGTTTGCCGGATTTTACATACGATTATTGTTAGCAGATGTTATAGCTGCTAGCAAAAATCACTGTGTTTTCCTGGCAGGGAAGGCTTCCTCCTCCAGGAGAACACAATGGATTGGTGGGAGGGATTCCTTTTTCAACACTGTCTGTCATCAGGAGGCTGCAGGAAAGAAATTTGTCTATGGCTTGCCTTACTCATATGCACAAATGTCCCCTCTCTTATCAGTTTACATGAGACTCACATACTTGGGAGTCTTATCTCACCATCTAGAAATCTAACACAAAGTGCTTCCTATTACTGAGCAGGGTAGAATAGCAAACTGAAATATCCATACTAGTTATATGACTGCAGAAAAGCCAGGTGAAGGGCCTCTGTGGTTCTGGAGACAGGCTTTGCCATTAGGGGAAAAAAAAAAAAAAAAAAAAAGTTGCTTCTGTGATTTCTCCTGCATACCACACACTCAAACCATTGGTGTCCAACAGCAATTGATTTGTCTCCTTTCCTATGCCTAAAAACTGATTAGTCAGAAGTCTGCTGTACATAGCAAACTCCTTCTAAACACATCACACCAATCAAAAGTAGGCCACAAAATGTCTTTAGATATTTCGCCTTTTTAGCATAATCGTATCACAAAAGGATAGTATGGCGGTAATTAACACTTTAAATGAGGGGGAATTAGAAATTGTTCATAGGCAAGACTGAGAAATCCTAATTTGTTTGTAGACTAAAGATTCAGTATCTTGCATAAGTCTACTTGGGGATGAGTAATTCCAGGTATGAATATTTTATACATAATTGCATCGAACCAGCTTGTACCAATGAACCTATGTATATACTGGTCAATGCCCCTGAATACTGGAAATCACTGACATAGACACTGATCTCCACTTGCTTCTGGGTCCCATGCTGAGTGGCTGGCCTGCTGTATATTGAACACAAGAGGTTCCCCACTTGGCCCAGGCACCATTCAGAGAATGCTTTCTATTTTTTTGAATGAATGCATAGTATTTTCTGATTGGTTGAGGTGGGGAGGTCCACACGCTCCACCTAATCCAATCAGAAAACTCAGGCAATAACAAAATGCAAAGTATTCTCTGAATGGTGCCTGTGTTGAGCACCTCCTGTGTTCAGAATGCAACAGGCCAGCCACTCAGCATGGGACCACTGTAACTATGTTAAATGTTCCCATACCTGGAATTCCTCTAACTTTCTAACTCAGTTTTAATGCTTCCGGGATAACACTACCAACAGAGACTGATATTCCTTTTCTGGTCATATTAATGCTAGGATTGGTCATCTGTCTTTTAAAATGTCTGATGGCAGGTTTGGAATTAAAGTGGTTGTAAAGGCTGAAGGTTTTTTTATGCACGAAGGTAAAAACCTGTGTGTTGCTCCCTTCCACAGCCCCCCAATACCTACCTGAGCCCCCTCTCGATCCAACACCCTGCTCTCCTGGGTCTTTTGGGGGGACAGGGCCAAGCCGTGACTCTGTGTGTCTAATGGACACATAGCGTGGGGCTTGGGAGCAAGCAAGCACGAGTGCCCCATAGCAAGTGGCTTGCTATTGGGGGCACTGGTCAGGAGGGAGGAGCCAGGAACCCAGAGCACCGGGAGGGGACCCAAGAAGAGAAGATTGGGACTACTCTGTGCAAAACCACTGCACAGAGAAGGCAAGTATGACATGTTTGTTAAAAACAAAACAAAAACCTTTTATATTACTTTAAATGTTGAAGCTTACTCAGGCTGGTGTCTTGCCTTGTGTGCTGTTCCCCACTAGGAGGCGTACAAGCTGTTACAGGCGGCAGTAGGCTTAGAGGCAGAGTACAGTGAAACTGTGGCCGAGATACGGAGCATTATGGGAAGCATATGTCTGGCTGATGGGAAGATTTTGAAGGGTTACCGATTGCTGAAAAAGGTAACTTATGTTTCTCTAGAGTCCAGAAGAATAATGTCAGATACAAAAATATGTACAATATAATCATCATTCCTACCACTGCCACACAAGTGATACCACTATTACTGGTTCCAACTTTGCTGCTTTCAGTGTCATCTGTCTACTCATATACCACTGTAGACTATTGGGGAATTCTGAAACTTCATTAAACACTACTGAGTTTTTGGTCACTATGACCCTTTAAAATGGCCTGCACCCGACCTTCAGTTTCAGCGGATTTACTGACACCCGTAGCAGATTCAGGTAGTTCCTAATGCACCAAATTCAAAATAATGACTTCCAGTTCATAGATCTAGAAACTGGAGGTAATTAAGAACAACACTAAAATGGCGTACAGAGTGTAGCATAGCGGCATATTTGCAGGCAGGCTGTCTGATGGCTAAGGATCCACCCACTGCCTGCTGTCAGTCACAAAGGAATAGACCCTGATGAGGCTTTAGTTCCAATAGAATCCCCATCAGGCTCCACTCCCCAAGTACAACTCAGTCTGACAGGTGCAGCAGTGGAGAAGAAGCATGATTGCACTGAGGGAGGAGTGTCTGTATGGACATTCCAACCTCAGTGCGTGCCCTGTCCACAGTAGGTACATGAATTGGTTGCCCACACTGATATTTATTCTGTGGAGGCACACTCGAATTCTAAATGGTGTTTTAGACACTCCTTATGAATTCCTCTGTATATGTCACTACATTTGAATGAAAAGTCCCTTTACTGATTGCTGAGTAACTCTATCCTTATAACTCGCTAAAGCCCAAAGGAACTTTAAATCAAAACAAAAATCATGCAAAGTCTTACAGATTGCTTTAGAAAACAACCACAATCTGAGTAAAATGCTTGTCAACTGCCAGCATTTGACAGCACGCTTGCTTTGTGTGTGGAAAGCAGTGGTCTCTCTGCAGAAGCCCAACACACCCCCTACTGAGTAAGACCTATAACTGCAATTAGCAATGCTCATACTTCCAGGTAATTCTGGGAAGACAGCTTTGGCCCTGTCAATGAGGCTTGTTCCAGACCACTGCATGTGTATAGTGTGACCACAAAGAAAAAAACAATTGCTCATACCATATATGCACAGTGGTAAGCAGAAAAATACAGCTCAACAAGCATAGTGTAAACAAGGTCCTGGGTTATGACGTAATATAAATATATATAAAATAGTATATTATTGTATGACAATCTAATTATCATGAGCTTCATTTTCTTGCAGTGTTTAGAAATTCAAGTGGTAGCATATGGGTCTCAGCACAGCAAAAGCAGAGAAACTCAGAACCTGCTTAACGCATTACAGAAGTAAGTTTTCTCACATTCCTTACTACACTGTGGTATGAAGCTGTACTCTTTTTTTTTTTTTTTTGTTTCCTATGCCAGTGTTTAAAACATCAGTTCATAATCGCTGATCAAAACGTCATTTACAATTCACGCTGACCCCCATCTATTTCTTGCAGGTCTGGAGCTGTTTGGGACTGATTACTACATATCATCGTGTAACACTACAGACTTATAATGTATAGGCTTGACTAGAGAAGCAAAGCTGACATTCTGATGTTCAGAACCACCTTAAAAAGCACAATGTTTGCTCATCTCCTTCTGAAAATTAAAATTCCCTGGCTGCTTCTTTTGTTATAGTTGGAGGAGTCAGCCCCTGGTATCTTTTATGCCTTGGATACTCAAACTTTATTACGTGGATAGAGCTGGAAACTCACCACAGATATACAGTGGGGAAAATAATTATTTGATCTTCTGCAGAATTTGTAAGTTTGCCCATGTACAAAGAGATAAAGGGTCTATAATTTTTCTCATAGGTATATTTTAAATGATAGAGACAGAATATCAACCAAAATTCAATGAAAAAACCCCCCCCAAAAAACATACAAATGTTATAAGCTGCAGTTCAGTGTGTAAAATAAATATTTGATCCCCTACCAACCAACAACGATTCTTTCTCCCATGGACTGGCTATGTGCTCATGTGATACATAGATTAGTCCTGTCAACGTAAGTAGGTGATCCCAAAGACAACTCGTTATGTGTATAAGACACCCATCCACATAATCTCCCTCTTCCATTCAAACCTTACCACCATGGGGAAATGACCAAGGAGCTGTCAAAGGATATCATGGACAAGATTGTAGACATGCACAATGCTGGAATGGGCTACAAGACAATCAGCAAGAAACTTAGTGAGAAGAAGACAACTGTTGGAGCGATTATTTGCAAGAAATACAAAATAACCTTCAATCGCTCTCTTTCTGCAGCTCCAAGCAAGATTTCGCCTCATGGGGTAAGGATAATCATGAGAAAAATTAGGGATCAGCTCAGAACTACATAGGAGAAGCTTGTGAATGATTTCAAGGCAGTTGGGACCACAGTCACCAAACTATTGGTAACACAATCTGCCTCCATGGATTGAAATCCTGCAGTGCCCACAAGGTCCCCCACCTCAAGAAGGCACATACAGTGGGGCAAAAAAGTATTTAGTCAGCCACCAATTGTGCAAGTTCTCCCACTTACAAAGATGAGAGAGGCCTGTAATTGGCATCATAGGTAGACCTCAACTATGAGAGGCAAAATGAGAAACAAAATCCAGACAATCACATTGGCTGATTTGGAAAGAATTTATATTTGCAAATTATGGTGGAAAATAAGTATTTGGTCAATATCAAAAGTTCATCTCAATACTTTGTTATATATCCTTTGTTGGCAATGACAGAGGTCAAACGCTTCCTGTAAGTCTTCACAAGGTTGGCACACACTGTTGCTGGTATGTTGGCCCATTCCTCCTCCATGCAGATCTCCTCTAGAGCAGTGATGTTTTGGGGCTGTCGCTGGCCAACACGGACTTTAAACTTCCTCCAAAGGTTTTCTATGGGGTTGAGACCTGGAGACTGGCTAGGCCACTCCAGGACCTTGAAATGCTTCTTACGAAGCCACTCCTTTGTTGCCCGGGCGGTATGTTTGGGATCATTGTCATGTTGGAAGACCCAGCCACGTTTCATCTTCAATGCTCTTGCTGATGGAAGGAGGTTTGCACTCAAAATCTCACGATACATGGCCCCATTCATTCTGTCCTGTACATGGATCAGTCGTCCTGGTCCCTTTTGCGGAGAAACAGCCCCAAATCATGATGTTGCCACCCCCATGCTTCACAGTAGGTATGGTGTTCTTTGGATGCAACTCAGCATTCTCTCTCCTCCAAACACGACGAGTTTGGTAGAAACACAACAGTTCTATTTTTGTTTCATCTGACCATATGACATTCTCCCAATCCTCTTCTGGATCATCCAAATGCTCTCTAGCAAACTTCAGACGGGCCCGGACATGTACTGGCTTAAGCAGGGGGACACGTCTGGCACTGCAGGATCTGAGTTCCTGGCGGCAGCCTTTATTATGTTGGTCCCAGCTCTCTGCAGGTCATTCACTAGGTCCCCCCATGTGTCCTGGGATTTTTTCTCACCGTTCTTGTGATCATTTTTGATCCCACAGGGTGAGATCTTGCGTGGAGCCCCAGATCGAGGGAGAAGATCTTTGGTCTTGTATGTCTTCCATTTTCTAACTATTGCTCCCACAGTTGATTTGTTCACACCAAGCTGCTTGCCTATTGCAGATTCAGTCTTCCCAGCCTGGTGCAGGTCCACAATTTTGTTTCTGGTGTCCTTCACCATAGTGGAGTTTGAAGTGTAACTGTTTGAGGTTGTGGACAGGTGTCTTTTATACTGATAACAAGTTCAAACAGGTGCCATTGATACAGGTAATGAGTGCAGGACAGAGGAGCCTCTTAAAGAAAAAGTTACAGGTCTGTGAGAGCGAGAAATCTTGCTTGTTTGTAGGTGATCAAATACTTATTTTCCACCATAATTTGCAAATAAATTCTTTCCAAATCAGCCAATGTGATTGTCTGGATTTTGTTTCTCATTTTGTCTCTCATAGTTGAGGTCTACCTATGATGAAAATTACAGGACTCTCATCTTTTTTAAGTGGGAGAACTTGCACAATTGGTGGCTGACTAAATACTTTTTTGCTCCACTGTATACAGGCCCATCTGAAGTTTGCCATTGAACAGCTAAATGATTCAGAGAAGGGTTGGAAGAAAGTGTTGTGGTCAGATGACCTCAAAATTGAGCTCTTTGGCATTAACTCCACTCGCCCTGTTTGGAGGAAGAAAAAATGCTGACTATGACCCTAAGAACACCATCCCTACAATTAAGCACGGACGTGGAAACATTATGCTTTGGGGTGGTTTCTCTGTTAAAGGTACAGGCCAACTTTGCCGCATTGAGAGGCCATGTATTGTAAAATCTTGGATGAGAAACCTTTTCCCTCAGCCAGAACACTGAAGATGGGTCTTCCAGCATGGCAAAGACCCAAAACATACCACCAAGGCAACAAAGGAGTGGCTCAAGAAGAAGCATTTTAAGGTCATGGAGTGGCCTAGCCAGTCTCCAGACCTTAATCCTATAGAAAATTTATGGAGGGAACTGAAACTTTGAGTTGCTAAGTGACAGCCAAGAAACCTTAAGGATTTAGAGCAGATCTGTATAGAATAGTGGACCAAAATCCCTCCTGAGATGTGTGCAAACCTAGTAACCAACTATAAGAAACATCTTACCTCTGTTTCTCCACCAAGTACTAAGTCATATTTTGCTTGGGGATTAAATACTTATTTTACTCACTGAACTGCAAATCAATTTATAACATTGGTATCACGTGTTTTTTCTGTTTTTTTGGTTTGACTATGCTAAAAAAAATTATAGACCCTTCATTTCTTTGTAAATGGGCAAATTTACAAAATCTGCAGAGGATCAAATAATTATTTTCCCCTCTGTATATAAGAAACTGTTCATCTTTCTAACAGCCCAGCACTGCCTGCACCATTTATCAGCTTTCATACATTATGTTGAGAAACAAAGGCTGCTCCTGCTGACCCTGACTTCAATATATTGGGGTTATTTACTAAAACTGGGGAGTGCAAAATCTGGTGCAACTATACATAGAAGCCAATCAGCTTCCAGGTTTTATTGCCAAAGATTAATTGAACAATCTGTAGTTAGAAGCTGACTGGCCACCATTTGGGTATTAAGGCCAAAGGTTTTTTTTTTTTTTTTTTTTTTTAGAAAAGGTTGGCTAGCCCTACTGTAGAGGGGTATTGGATACTAAGGTTTATTTATTGCACAACAGCTGCACATGTAACTTGTGATTATTACACACAAATGTTAACTTTTTTTTTTTTTTAGTAATGAACAAAATAAAATGTATAAAACCCTACAGATTCCAATGATTATTTTGTGGTCTTTTTTGGTTTCTTTTAGCCCACTCCACCATAACCTGGTCTGATTGTACTGTCTTGTTGGTCCACAAGACCTTTCCTATAGAAGCCATGCACTGCACTCACGAAGGCCAGCTAGCTTGAAACTGCTGTATGCAGTTTGGAATAAATATAGTACATCAGCCAAAAAATAATTTGCACGACTCTATTCACTTATCCTAAAATCAGAGGGTGGAGGGAGATCTTCGTTAGGGAATTGGTCAAAGTGAAGTTTTCACTTCCAGATTCTTGTCAGGAGGTGAGGTGAAAATGCCAGAAGCAATAAAAATCGCAGAGGTTTTATCCTTTCCAGATTAAGCTGCTTTCAAACTGCTTTAAAAAATGCGGTAAAATGCATATGTGTTTATACTGTGATTTCAGTGTTTTACACCTGTGAAAAAAAGGGATTTAAAAACACAACTGCAGGTGTGTTTTTGATCTGTTTTCCATACATTTCAATGGGGATGTGTGTTTTTGGTGCTTTTTTTTTTTACAGCACCAAAAATAAAGCAAGCAGGCTTTTGAAAATTTCAACAGTCCCACAACTGTCCAGTGTGAAGACTTGCCTTGGATTTAATGGTCATGCATTTTTCTTCCACTTTTTTTTTTTTTTTTTTTTTTAAGGCAAAAACAGAAGAAAAATGGATGTGTGAAAGCAGCACTAGCTGGAGTTACACTTTAAGTGAACCAGATTCTTGAGCATGTGTGTGAAATTCTATTGTTTCTAGAAACATGAGAAGAAAACCCTTTATCTTCTCTCCATCTTATCTAGGTATTTGTTAGCAATACAACAGTTGGAAGCACACATATGTATTATGTCACAGGGATGGTACATAGCATTACTAGGTACGGCCTCAACTGGGGGGTCTCTGTAAATGTCTGTATAAGGAGAAAGCCACTAACCCTGGGTCTGTATCTCCTGTCAAAAGCAAAGAGTTCAACCAAAAACAGCTCTGAGAGCCTCTACTGACTGCTATCCAAACCTACTGAAATGGAGAGTCTGGAACAGATTTTTCTTTTTGTTTTAATGTATAAAACAGACAGTTTGCACACAAGCCCTGCACAGAAATCACACCCCTCCCCAGAGTTCAGACACGTTTCTTAGCCAGCCTCTGCCGTTTGAACTGCTTGTCCTTCCGTTTAATACGTGGTTTTGGTAAAGGTGCTTTTGTCTCCATGGTCTGTGGCTTCTTCTCAGCAGGGATGTTAAAGACATCCTCCGTAGGGTCTCGTGAAACGGTTTCCTTATTTTCTGACTTTTTCAATTTCTGCAGGTCCTTCACTTGTTGCTTTTCCTTGACTTTGGCAGCTGTGGCTAACCGGATCATCCGTCGGTGCTGAAACAAATGCATTCATTAGAACACAATGAGGGACTAGCCACTACAGGGATTACAGAACATAAAATTGAACTTTAGAGTGTGGAAATATTAAACCTTTCAAACCTCCATTCCCACCCACAACATAATTGGCTTTAAAAAGCCATTAAAGAAAAAAAAAAAAAAAAAATCAACATGCCTTCTGGGGCAGAGCTGGGAGTTCAAAATGCCACAACACCGCACCCTCTTGCAATGGAGCTGGAGTGCATTTTCATGGGATTTTAAGCTCCCAGCTATGCCGAGGCTTCTGTGATTAACAAAGGCAATTGTTTTTTTTTCTTCTTTCCACACTTGGTTTCCGAAAGGTTTTTTTAAAGCCCTTTATGTTGGGGTGCAGGGGGCTAGCTGTTTGCATTCGAAGGTCTGCTTTAAATTTGCTACATATAATTTATCGGAGAATTATCTAGTAGGTTGATGTAGGAAGTTTCCAAAAGGTATACTCAGATTTTCTAGATCCAATCCACAAATAATTAATGCTGCACTGAAATGAAACCAAAAATTAAGGATGCACGTGGCCGAAATGGACAGTTTTTTTTTTAAAAAAAAAAAAATGCATAATGTTTTATATACCGTTACTCTCTGCTCTAGTGCCCACCCTCAATAAAATTAAAAAAAGTTAAAATAAAATACAATACACACACTCAAAAAGATTAAAAGGAACACTTTGGAAACACATCTGATCTCAGTGGGGAAAAATATCATACTGGATATCTATACTGACATGGACAGGGTAATGCGTTAGGAACGTAAGGATGTCCCATCATTTGATGGAAATGAAAATTATCAACCTAGATGTTGATAATTGGACTGAATTCAAAGACACCCCGAAAACTGAAGTGAAAAAGTGAAGCAGCAGGCTAGTCCATTTTGCTGAAATTTCATTGCAGTAACTCAAAATAGTACTCAGTAGTTTGCATGGCCCCCTCGTGCTTGTCTGCATACCTGACAATGTCGGGGCATGCTCCTAATGAGACAACGGATTGTGTCCTGGGGTATTTCCTCCCAGATCTGGACCAGGACATCACTGAGCTCCTGAACAGTCTGAGGTGCAACACGGTGGTGTCGGATGGATAGAAACAGGATATCCCAGAGGTGTTCTATTGGATTTAGGCCAGGCAAGCGTGGGTGCCAGCCAATGGTATCCATTCCTTCATCTTCCAGTCAGTCAGTCAGGGTGCCATTGTTTAGCCTGTAGAGAGGTCTAAGTCCCTCCATGGATATGCCTCCCCAGACCATCACTGACCCACCAAAACGGCCATGCTGAACAATGTTGCAGGCAGCATAACGTTCTCCACGGCTTCTCCAGACCCTTTTCACGTCTGTCACATGTGCTCAGGGTGAACCTGCTCTGAAATCTGAAAAGCACAGGGTGCAAGTGGAGGACCTACCAATCCTGGTGTTCATTGGTAAATGCTAGTCAAGCTCTATGGTGCCGGGCAGTGAGCACAGAGCCCACTAGAGGACGTCAGGCCCTCGGGCCACCCTCATGAAGTCTGTTTCTGATTGGTTAGAGACATTCACACCAGTGGCCTGCTGAAGGTCATTTTGTATGGTTCTGGCAGTGCTCATCCTGTAGATACCGGTCCTGCTGATGGGTTAAGGACCTTCTACGGCCCTGTCCAGCTCTCCAAGAGTAACTGCCTGTCTCCTGGAATCTCCTCCATGCTCTTGAGGCTGTGCTGGAAGACACAGCAAACCTTCTGGCAATGGCACATATTGATGTGCCATCCTAGAGTTGGACTGCCTGTGCAACCTCTGAAGGGTCTAGCATGATCACCTCATAGTACCAGTAGTGACACGGACCCTAGACAAATGCAAAACTAGTGAAAAACAGTCAGAAAAGATGGAGTAGGGGAAAAAATCTCAGTAGCCTCCACCTGTTAAACCATTCCTGTTTTGGGGATTATCTCATTGTTGCCCATCTAGTGCACCTGTTGTTAATTTAATTAATACCAAAGCAACTGAAACTGATTAACAACCCCTTCTTCTACTTAACTGACCAGATCAATATCCCAGGAGTTTAATTGACTTAATGCTATACTCTGATTAAAAAGTGTTCCTTTATTTTTTTTGAGCAGTGTGTATGTATGATCGATCGATATATATATATATATATATATATATATTTTTTTTTTTACACGTCACCATTTTTCTCGGTAAATATATTTATAAAGGTGCTATTGACATGAAATTTTCACCACATGTTGGTAACAACCCATGCAATCCATACATGCAAAGAAACCAAAACAAATAAGTTCAGAGAAATTAAGTTCTGTGTAATAAAATGGAATGACATAGGGAAAAAAAGTATTGAACACGTTAACTGAAATTTATTTAATAAATACTTTGTACAAAATCCTTTGTTGGTAATGACAGCTTTAAGATGCCTCCTGCATGAGGAAACTAGGTGCATGCATTGCTCAGGTGTGATTTTGGCCCATTCTTCTACACAAAGTCTTTAAATCTTAAAGGTTCCGTGGGCCTCTTCTATGAATTCTGATCTCTATTTCTTTCCATAGATTTTTCAATTGGAGTCAAGTCAGGTGATTGGCTGGGCCATTCTAGCAGCTTTATTTTCTCTCTTTCTTTGAAACCAATTGATGGTTTCCTTGGCTTTGTGTTTGGAATCATTATCTTGGTGAAATGTCCACCCTAGTTTCATCTTCATCACCCTGGTAGATGGTAGCAGATATTTTTTACAAGAATGTCTTGGTACATTTTTACATTCATCCTTTCTTCCATGATATGAAGTATGCCAGTACTGTGTGCTGAAAAACAGCCCCACACCATGATGTTCCCACCTCCGTGCTTCACTGTTGGTATGGTGTTTTTGCGGTGATGTGCAGTGCCATTTTACCTCCAAAACATGGTCTGTATTATGGCATCCAAGAGTGCAATTTTGGTCTTATCTGACCAGACTATATTCTCCCAGTATTTCACAGGTTTGTCTAAATTTTGTGCAGCAAACTTTAACCACTTCAAGTCTGGACGCTTTCAGCGCTGTCACACTTTAAATGACAATTGTGTGGTCATGCAACACTGTACCCGAATGAAATTTTTAGCATTTTTTTTTTTTTTTTTGAGAGACAAATAAAACTTTTTGCATGTGGTGCATTTATTCACCACTGGGATTTTTATTTTTTGCTACATAAATTAAAGACCAAAAATGTTGAAAAAAAAAGTGTTTTTCTTATAAAATTTTGCAAATAATCTTTCTTCATAAATTTTGACCAAAATGTATTCAGCTACCTTTTTGGCAAAAATAAATAAATAACCCAAATCAGTTTATTTAAAAAATATATATATATATATAAATTTTTCTAAATTTAACATTTTAATTTTTATTTTTTATTTTTACATACTGATTGCTTTTACACCCATAAAGGCTGTAAAAGCAATAATTTCTCCTCTCTGGCTGCATTCCTGCAGGCACTGAGAAATACTGTGGGAGCTGTAATTGGTAACAGCTTGTCACATGGTACAAGGCTAATGTGAACCTTTGTGATGTTTCACAGAATTCACAATTGGTAAACAATGACGTCAGGCAGTGACATTTTGTTTACTACTGCTCATGTTATCACATGAATCAGGACCTCACACAGTGGTCCCATACATCAATCTATGTTCCAGACACCGTGGGCACAGATCATGGAGCTGCGCGCTCCCAGGGAGCATGCACAGGCAATGGATGCAGGGGGACGGTTAGAAACATCCCCCCACAACGGCGACGCTCCTGTCCGGCTGTTTATCGGCAATGGCCCGGACAGGAAGAGGTTAGACAAGCTTTAATATTCTTTTCCTTCCTGGAGTCTTGCATGGTGAGCGTGCATACAGGCCATGGCGGTTGAGTTGATTACTTATTGTTCTCCTTGAAACAATTGTACCTTCTAATTCCAGATTTTTCTGAAGCTCTCCACAAGTGGTCCTTGGATCTTTGACAACTCTTCTGATAATTCTTTTCACTCCTTGTCAGAAATTGTTTATGGTGAAAAGATGTTCTTTCCACTTATGGAAATATGGCCCCAATAGTGCTCACTGGGACATTCAGACATTTAGAAATCCTTCTATAACTAATGTCATCAGTATGTTTTGCAACAATAAGGTTGTGAAGGTCTTGAGAGAGCGCTTTGCTTTTACCCATAAGATGTTTCTTGTGTGACACTTGGTAATGAGACACCTTTTTAAAGGTCATCAGTTGAGACTGAACCAGCTGATATTAATTTGCACTGACAAAGGGAAGGATTGCTAATTAGTGATAGAGCTCAGCTGGTGTCTTGTTATCCATGCCCTTTTGCACCTCCCTTTCTTCGTGGGTTCAATACTTTTTCCCTGAGTCATTCCATTTTATTACACATAACTTAATTTCTGAATGTATTTGTTTTGGTTTCTTTGCATTTATGGATTGCATTGGTTGTTACCGACCATATTTTGAAAACTGTATGTCAATAGCACCTGTAGAAATATATTTACCTAGAAAATATAATAAAATTGTATTACTTTCTACTTTTTAATTTTATTGAGGGCGGGCACTGGAGCAGAGCAATGGCCGCAGAGACAGAGCCATTGTCAGCACTTTTTTTTTCCTATCGGCAAAACGCCGATAACACTATTTTTGGCTGATAATTCTTGGAAGCCGATATATCGGTGTATCACGAACAAATGTTTACAGATATTCTTCAGGGACGTGACAAGGACAAAATAACAGTTAAAATTACCATATTGGGAGACTGGTAGTTAGAGTTCTCATACAAGGTTGGTCCTCCAAAACTTCCCTGGAAAATCTTGATAAGGTTCAGTACAAACCGAGGTCCAATTTCTACCAGAGATGCATCTTCTTCTATAATCTAGGAGTGAGAATAATATTTGTTTCTTAAAAGAAATCTGTTCCATTCGCCTATCATAAATGGTACAATGGGTCAATAATCTTTCAAAAGCATTCTTCAGTGTTGGAAAACAATTTCACTTGCTTGACAAATGCAAAAGGTTTGTCTTTAATTATTTCCAAAGTAATGTCAACTTGACAGACTGCACTACATTACAGGCTACATCTCTCCACATATAGCGAGTACACAGACATCACATGCTATCTGTGAACAGGAAATGAAGGACAGGACTTACCTGATAATTTCTAAACCAGATCCTCTTGTCTGCTACAGAGAACGTGAATACATGGTCCACAAATGGCTGACTCTTTGGGTGGTATCTTGGGGTTCCAAAAATCTGCATTCAGTAGAAGACCAAAATGTATTACAATGTAGTAGTATCCTCAATCCTATTAAAATAGCAGCACTCAGAAAAGCAATTGTTCCATATGACTGCTCATTCCTATAAAACTGTATTGTACACAAGCATCTTGTGTATCTCCTGACATCCCTGATTTTGCTCTCCAACTCAAAGTTCTGACATACAATGAATGTACAGCAGGGGTAGGCAGCCTTTAAGAGGTAGAGATTTACATGAACATAGAAGAGATCAAAGGTCCCTGGGGTTCGGCACTCCATTCTTCACCAGATAACTATCAAGTCCCCAATAAATAGATGGCATAAAGAAATCAGTGTGTCATGGCAATGTTCTCTGCCTCCATTAACATCATCCCCACCGTAGTGTGCTTTGCCCCTTTCACATCATCCTCACAGCAGTGCCCTCTGCTCTCCCATAGTAGTAGTGTTTCCCCCCCATCAAGAACCTTCTGTCCCTATCACATCACCCCCCCACAGCAATGTCCTCCGCCGTGCTTCCTAGCAGTCAATCACCTTCTGGTTAGAAAGGTTGGCTGAGGCAGAGGGGGAAGAACCTGCAGCTATATAGCCCGACCACGGTAATCCAGACAGGATAGTGACCCAGACCACCGTCTGCCATTTATTGACCCCTGGGCCAGAGGACTGGCAAAGCAGGACCTTGTTTGCGATCTACCTGTCATCTGACTGCAGTCGGCAAGTATCACGAGCGATGGGTTGGCGACCCCCAATGTAGAGGCTCCAGCACTGCATTATGGGGTGCTGGGAGGAGATCCCTAAAGCAGCAAAGATTTTGGCAACTGCTTTTTTGTACTGAGAAAACTAAGAAATCTGCTGCAACTGACCTTCTGAAAATGCTGGTACGTGGTGTTTTCTGGGCTCAATACTTCCTGAAAAACTGACCCAAAACAAGCATTTTAGCCAGGAAAGTCAGAGTGAAGTCAGCTTTTCTAATCTGCATACTGTGTGTGAGTACTGCAGGCAACTGATCTGTAGAACATCTGGGAAGCCAGAAACTTCAGATGGAGCGTTCAGCCCCCGCATACTTGGTCAGTACGGGTCTAGCATTAAAGAGGCGCTCGGGTCTTTGTAAAAATAAAGGATCACCTTTGAAATATGTTAAATGTTTCCAATGCTGCCTCCTCTACCCCCACCCCCTCTCCCCTCTCCCCACACCCTCTGTCACAATTTAAAAACAGCACAGCCGGGGCAACCGCCATCATAGCTGCATTATTCATTCATGTGAATGAATTCCTGTAAATTAATGTCTACAAGTACCGCCAGGTGTACTCTTGTAGTCCATTGAGCCTTCCTGCCATTCACTAACTGCCTGCCTGGTTGAGGTACTGGCAGGCAGCTTACCAAGTGTCTGCATTGATCTTTACATTGGGACTGCAGAGTAAAAAATAAACGCACATTTTTTACCAACAAAAAGATGTGCATTTAATTATTTTACACCAAAGGTAAACTTATCCTTTAAGTCAGCAGCTACAAATACTGCTAACTTTTAATTAACAGACACCAGCACAAAGATCCAGCGCTCTTTGCCTGGTACTTTGATGGTCTTCGGGTCTCCGGAAGCACCGCCATGTTGACTGTGGGAAGCTGGCTGTGACTAACAGACTTGAGACAATTTCTGCTGGTTTAATAGTTCTATTTCCGTAGGATATATGTTCATACTGTGTATAAAAACTACCCCTTTTTCTTTTGTGTGTGTTACTTACTGATTTATTACCGTATGACCAATGTTCTTTGATTGGTTTGTAGTTTGCCATGCACAAATTGTGCGTTTATTAGTTTAAAAGAACAAATTTCAAAAACTTTTAATAAAGATCTGATTTAGGAAAAAAAAAAAAAAAAAACAATTACCTGTATAAAGAGCTCTTTCAACAGAGCAAGGTACGGATCCCGATCAAAGGCCTGCAAAGTGATAAGGCACATAAAATCAGCTCCATACCGAGGCATACAACAGGTCTTATATAGGCATGAAGTATCAAAATGTTTGTAGCAGGTAAAGTAAGAAGTTAAAGTAATACTAAAAAATCTTACAAAAAAACAGAAAAAAAAAAAAATCTATTTCTTATTGCGCTCAACCTCCACCAAAATTATTTTGCTGCTGTGATCTGACTTCCTGTTAAGAAAAGTGGCTCTGTTCATTCTCCATGGTCCCACTGTGTGTAGAAATGTAGCCACCCTCCTTTGTTCACTCCTGAAATGTACTAGCAACTATGGCATTTGTAGTGTACATAGAGCAGTGCACATGACCGCAACTGACTGCTCGTTCAAATGTAAGTGAGGGGGAAAGGAGGGGTTCAGGAACTCACACAGGACTTAATAGGCAGAAAAAAAACAGTAAATAGCTGGCTGTGAATTATAAACTGCCTTTTATTTAGTGCTGGATATATCCCTCCATGTAGAAATAATTTTTACTACTGCCAAAGCATAAAAGTGGGCTCTATGATACTGATAACAATACTCACACTCAGAAAGCACAAGACTGACACAAAAGGGACTTTCTTCCTACTTATCAACAGTCTTCCCACAGATTACAACCAATCAGAAGTCAGCGTATGATAAAGATTAATATTAAGCCAGGAAAATAAAATATTTCAAACAGATAAAGGGAAACCAACAGGGCATGCAGTGATGAGCAAAAGTACTGCAGGAAAAGTTTGACGGTCAAAGCTAATAACCAGGGGAGATTTAACAAGGTAGGGAATACATTTCTATTGACTGATGAAAGCGGCTCCAAAAATCTAATTTAATCACTGCAGACTGATCTCCTAGCAACTGTCCACCTCTGATTGGCAGGATTATCAAATAGCCAGGAACGTGCAGTAAATCGGTTTTACATACTCACAGGATCAAAGGAGAGCAGAGGACGTGATCCTTTCAGGCAGTTCCCAGTCATCTTCAGCTCCGCCAGTGTATGAACTGTAACAATGAAACACAATGACGAGCATGGTCAGGCTGCTCTTTAACAACTTCCCACCCAGGCCAATCCTGACATTTCTGACATGTTAAAAAACAAACAGGAAATCCTCCTGCGCTGATATGGAAGTAAGCCCTGATCACTAGCAGCAAACACCCAAATCTGATAACCAATCAATACAATAAATGTGAAAATAAAAATGGTGCAGCGCTTGAAAAAAAATAAACTAAAAAAATATTGTGCAAAAAAAAAAAAAAAGTCACAAACCAAATGATAATACAATCTCTAATGTGACTTGTGAAAGTGATAACAATACATAAATAAAACCCAGTGACAAACAATACTGAAAGGGCCACCTTGGAGACCTATAACGGTGACACACAAATAATGAATCCATATAGAAATGTGATAGTGTCACTTCACTTCTCATAAATCTTCAAAACAAACACTCTATTAGTCCATTAATAACAATAATAGTAGGTGTATCTCAACACCATGCAACCTGTACTATGTGATGAATTCGTGCAAGTGTCAGCACACACTTCATCCACTCCAGCTGCAGTGCCTCCTCACCTCCTTTATGTGACCACTAAGGGCCAAATAAGCATTCAGGATCACTCGGGATCCTTCACATCACTGGCTAGTAGCTCTCCTCTTTCACGATATCTCCGGAAGCTTTCAGGATCACCTATGGTCTCCTGTTAGTGTTCCTCCTCCAATACCTCCTCCAGGACCCTCTGTAGAGTAGATTACTCACAATACCAGTGAGCAATAAAAGAGATCCTTCATAGTGCAGTAATTTGAGCAAGGCAGTCTTTTATTCAAACAAGAAGTACACTCACATTTCAAATGCAGTCCCTTCCTCCTGCTGTGTGGGTATACTGCATCCATGCGGTACTTCCTGGGAGTGTGCCAAGATGGCGTCCTACAGCGGAAGCTGCGTATCCGCATACCTACGCGTTACGTCACATGGTCTCGTGACTTCCAGGAAGTACCGCATGGATGCAATATACCCACACACAGCAGGAGGAAGGGACTGCATTTGAAATGTGAGTGTACTTATTTGAATAAAAGACTGCCTTGCTCAAATTACTGCACTATGGAGGATCTCTTTTTATTGCTCACTGGTATTGTGAGTAATATACTCTACTCTACAGGAGGGTCCTGGAGGAGGAACACTAACAGGAGACCATAGGTGATCCTGAAGGCTTTCCGGAGATATCGTGAAAGAGGATAGCTACTAGCCAGTGATGTGAAGGATCCCGAGTGATCCTGAATGCTTATTTGGCCCTTAGTGGTCACATAAAGGAGGTGAGGAGGCACTGCAGCTGGAGTGGATGAAGTGTGTTGCACGAATTCATCACATAGTACAGGTTGCATGGTGTTGAGATACACCTACTATTATTGTTATTAATGGACTAATAGAGTGTTTGTTTTGAAGATTTATGAGAAGTGAAGTGACGCTATCACGTTTCTATATTGATTCATTATTTGTGTGTGTCACTGTTATAGGTCACCAAGGTGACCCTTTCACTATTGTTTGTCACTGGGTTTTATTTTTGTATTATCACTTTCACAAGTCACATTAGAGATTGTATTATCATTTGGTTTGTGATTTTTTTTGCACAATATTTTTGTTTATTTTTTTCAAGCGCTGCACCATTTATTTTCACATTCTCTCCTACATGTAATAATAATCATTTTTATTAGAAAATTACTTAGAAACCCCAAATAATGTATATATTTAAGAAGAGGCCCTAGAGAATAAAATGGCAGGGGTTGTAGTTTTTTATATCACATGGTGTTTGCGCGGCGGTTTTTTTAAATGCAAATTTCTTGAAAAAGATACACTTTTTAAAATTTTAGTGCAGAGAAACAATACCCATTTTGGTAAAATATAAAACATGATGTTATGCCAAGTAAATAGAAACCTAACATGTCACGCCTTAAAATTGCGTACACCCCGTGTAACAGCATCAAAATATGGTACCTAAACAGCTCTATAAGCAGGGTTTCAAAAGACTTTGCAGGTAACCCGTTTAGAGTTACACAGGAGGTCTGGTGCCAGAATTATTGCTCTCGCTCTGACGTTCGCAGCAATACCTCACAATTTTTTTTATTATATTTTATTTGATTTTTGTATTTTTAGATTTTTTTTTTGTGATCACTTTTATTGCTGTCACAAGGAATGTAAACATACCTTGTGACAACAATCAGCAGTGACAGGTCCTCTTTGTGAGACATCTGGTGTCAAAATACTTGTTGCTTCCAGTTTTTAATACCAAAGAGCGGGGCTTGACAAAATTTTCTTTGAATCTAGGAACCAGCTAAAAAAAGTTAGGAGACAGTTTTTCTGTAGCATAGTGCGGGTTGTCAGTGCCTGGGACTTGAGATGCGATTTGCCATGCGACAATCACAGCAAAACCCCACCACATTTTAGGCGCCATTGAAAATAATGGCACCTGAACTTGCCTTTTGCGTTCAGAGCAATTCTGCTGTGATCTCAAAAATGCCAAGGTGTGAATGGAGCCGCCCTGGTTCACACATATGCGATTCTGGATTCGTTTTGAATCGCATAGATGCACATGACAGTCTAGATATTTTGTTTTCCTATTGAGGTGGTTCACACAGATGCGATCCACACGCATTGTGTTTTGAATGCCATTATAAAAAGTGTCCTGTGTGAGTTTGTAGCGGTGCATTCCAGACTGGCAAGTGATACAATAGAGTGGCATGCAGAGATAAGTGTTTTGCTGTTGGAATGCATTTGTGCACTGAAGTCTTTTGGTAGGCAATTTCCCAACTAACCCTAAGGTGCAACCGGCTTCAATGCCAGGTTCCCCGCTGGGACGGGAGAGCCCAGGGAGGCACCAGCAGCTGGTGTCAACCCCTCCTGCCGCCTGTAAAAGCAATAAAGTAATCCAGCAGCTAATTAGCCGCTAGGATGACCTTTACATGAACAAGAATCGCCAGTTCTAAAAGTCAATGCCAGGATGATGCCTATAGCTGCGGTATAACCTACGGACGGGAAGTGGTCACAAAACATAAATGCACTGGTATGAAGAATATGACATGTAGCTGAAGTCTACCAATATACTGCGTAAAATCAACTTCCTATAAGTAAGAAGCGACCTATCAGTATGTATGAAGATCAACAGCAGAAGGGGGGGGGGGGGGGGGGGGGGGGGGGGGGGGGGGGGGGGGGGGGGGGGGGGGGGGTGGGGGGGGGTGGACCACAGAGGACTTTGCTGGACTTATAAACTAATAAATCAACAATTTATTTTAATGAACTAGTGGGCCAGCCTCCAGAAAAGGTGCTCTTAGGATCGAAGATCTAGCTAGTAGCCCTGGCAAAAAAAAAAAAAAAGAAACACACTGAAATGGATTAAATAAAGTTGATTTTCAGCACAGAATACACTCACCGTTTTGAACTAGGAACTTTGCAGAGGGTCCCCCAGGAGAATTGGCTACCCTAATGTAAAAGGAAAATGGTGTAAATGTTTGCCAAATTAACCAGAAATGAAAAAGGGAATGTGTTAAAACAGTTTATAGTAATAATACAGCACAGGACACAGACCCTGGGTTATAAGCCGGGTACCTTTGGGTGATTGGACACAGGCAAGCTTTTGAGGACACACCACATGAGCATCCCTCCTATAACTTACTCCGACCCGTTAGTCCTTCGATTTTTGCTTGTGTCCTAAGGTGATGGACCTCTTCTCCCTTCAAGCGGAACTCCACCCAAAAGGGGAAGTTGCGCTTTAAACCTTTGTCCCCTGCTCCCCATTAAGGATTGACACCTTTGGGGAGCGAGTACCTGAATTTGACAGGTACCCGCTCCCACTTCGATCGGCTAGGCAATCAGAAGCGGAGGTTGGCCTCCCTCCCCGTAGTCTTCTGGGACACGAGACAGGTCCCAGAAGACTATGGGGCCATTCACAAAGCGCAACGCTTCTCGAGCAAACGCAGTGGGCACCCGGCTGGGAAGCCGCAAGCTGTCACAGCCTGGTGCCCACACTGAAGATGCCGGCATCAGGGAGAGAAGACGGCTGAGGAAACCAGTGGTGGTGAGGACATAGCTGAAATGAGGAACAGGTAAGTAGCTGTATTTTAAAAGTCAGCAGCTACAATTTTTGTGGCTGTCGACTTTTATTTATTTTTCAGGTGGAACTCCGCTTTAAAGGAGAAATCACTCTTTACTAGCTAGTCTAATTTTTTTCTTTGGATTCCTCAATCAACTCTTCATTCAACTTCCAACCTGTCTTCTAAAACAATAGAAGCTGTGCATCGGTGCCACCTCTGTAAACCCTTTGGAGCTGTACCCAGACTCCATGCCATGGGGACGGCCTGTAATGTTGCTCTGGGTGCTGGATCCTGAATGGGTGTTAACCTTGGCACTCTGTGCAAGGAGTGTAGTTGGGTCCAGGGCACTGGTCCATCATTATGGAACACACACACACCCGGAAGACCCCATACCCACCTGCTTTTTGGAGATTCTAAAAAATATTATGTACAAATCCAAGAGTGATAACTTACCACATATATAGGTCCTGTTTTTTCTTTGCTTCAAAATATATGCATTTATTGCAGTTTTTCATTTCACAGACCTGCGTACAAAACAATGTCTATGTAAAAAGAAATATTCACTTTACTGTGTAATCAGTACATGATTAATATGTAGATCATCTTGTCCAATTTAAAAAGTATTTAACGTGGCTGTAAACCCCTACATATACTCAGTGAAGTGACTGGCCTCAGGTGATACACAGAGATGAAACAAATCCTCCAACATATGTTGGACCCGTTTATCTGCAATCTTGTCTTCAGGCATTCAATGTCCAGAATTTATAAAGCTTGTCAGAGTTCAGAAAACGGGGATGGACAGTAGAAGTTACACTCTACAGAGCTCAGTGAGGAGAGCTCTGAGAGCTGATTGGAAGGAATGACGACACACCCCTCCACATAGCACCAGAGATGAGGCTGTCAATCAGCTGAAGGTCCCACCCCATCACATTTTTTCTCTTTGGCCTCAATGTTACCAGCACCAGACATTCCAATGCAAAAATAGAAAGAATGGAGCAAATAAAAGAGTACTCAGCATACAGCTATGAACACATTTAAATGGATGCTGTCAACTGCCCATTCAGGGCAAAAGTGAGTGCTGCATGATAGCTGGCCCACTCAGAAAGGTAAATTCATCCTTTTTCAAGCTTTTTTTTTGGCCACATTTTTCTTGTGGATCCCAGTACATCTACTCTGTGACCCAGACTCATCTGGTAGCGGGCTATTGCTCTCTATCAGCTGATGGGGCAGCTCTGGAAGGATCCAAACAATATTCACAACCTAGCTGCCTGATTGACAGCTGGCTCCTCTCAGCATGCTGAGACAGCTATGCCCACCCCCTCCCTAGCTCAGTGAACTCCAGTGAGCGTTGGAAGATCAAAGGAGAGAGTGCTGACTGACAGTCACCACTCTCCACTCCAAGAGGAAAGAGAGCTGAGCAATAAGAGGTCATGTGATTGCTCAGTTCTCAAATCTTAGAAATAATGCGGGGCAGCTGCAGCGTTACACTAATGCTGCAAAATGGAGGCAAGTATGTAGGTTTTTTTTTTTTTTTGTCATAAGCCCATACTTCTTTAAAGCTGACCTCCAGGATCCTGCCACTTTTACCAGTTTACCCATGCACATGAAAACTGCTTCAAAATGTATACAGTTAAAAATGTATGTATGAAGAATGTTATGTTGATGTGTGATGTCATCAGCACCTTGTTTAAAATGTTGCCAGAGAAAGGATCTGTGGAGGCACTCCATCATGGGAGTGCTCCTATGTGGTGGGTGTATGTAACCAGAGCTAGGGCTGCTGCATTGCAATCAATGGAAGAGGGCAGCATGGGACTGGGTGCTGTACAGTCATACCCATCCAAAATCAGCATGTCACCACTCTCCTTCTGTAAAATACACAGAGGAAGAAACACAACTGGCAGCCATTTGTCGATAAGGAGAAAACAGCACTGCCCAGTCTCTCTTCCTTGATAATATGGGCAAAAGAAAATAAGGAATTTATTTGTGGGGAAAAATAAAGTGTAAAAACAAATGGTAAAAAATGAGAGCATTATTTCACAAGGTAAGCAAGTACCTGGCTAAAAAAGTATGCAATTTTCATGGCTGGAGTTCAACTTTAACAGACAAAGTGACAGTCTCTCTAAATTAAAACCCTTTCAAGAAGACCTTAGGTCAAAAGTGACACCCATTGGGGATATATAGCTAACCTATATAGTCCAGAAGCCTTTAAAGAGTCATTTAAAGGCAACTGTGGCTTTGCCAAGATACAAAATCCATTAAGTCTAAACTATTCACAATTGTTTTCATCAATGGAAGCCTACAGTAGGTTTCCTAGTTCCAGAAAATAAGGTTCCAAGACATGAATTCTACATTAATCACTGCCGTCCTAAGATAAATAGTTGTACTTGGATGGACACATTATAAAAAATATTTGACCAAGTTGGAGATCCTATTGGTACACCTGGTCTTGAAAAGGACTAGAAAAGTACTAGCATGTCTGTTAGACATATGTTACCAGGAGTTTCCAGCGCTGGGACATTTTTTGCCAGTGTCTTTATCTCAGAGCAAGAGAAGGAGTGAGTCAGTTAATGTGATTGTAAAGCTTTATTTTTTTTTTTTATAAGGCTCCTCCTTTTCGGCAAGTGCCCTCGTACAAAGCCATTTTCTTTGGGGGCACTCATGTGGGCTCAATCTCGAGCCGCATTTCCGGTGTCTATATACACAGAGCCCTGCCCTTGTCGCAGAATTTGAAAGCAGGGGGAGCCAGTGTCTCCTACTGCTATTAATCAGCCCAGTGAGGAGGGAAAAAGCTGCTTTCGAGCACAGCGCTGGATCGAGATCGAGTTCAGATAAGTAGAAGGTGTGGCTGGAAAGATCCTGTGACACAGAAGGTTTTTTTACCTTAATGCACAGAATGCATTGGGGCAAAAAACCTTAAGGCTTTACAACCAACACTTCACTGGATGGTTAGTGTTACAGTAAAGTTTAGTGCTAGGGTTCATGTAAGAGGAACCTTCAGGTAGGGTGTTACTCCCTGCCCTAATCTTTTGCCATAGAAAAGCAATGCTCTAACCAGCTTCACTTCTGTTTCAATTTGTGCAGCTTAAGTTGTTCATGTTTCTTACACACAACCCCTGTAACATGAATGCACCCAGCACAGCACACACATACACCACTCATTCTGGAATGATATGGTCACATGTAATGGCACATACCTCATTTATGACAAACAGCTTGTCTTTGCGATCCATTTTGGTATCTGTGAAATGGAAACAAAACAAGATTTAAAGCCCCACTCAGATACCTTCAACAAATATTCAATTCTATTCAAATACCTGTTGATGCCAACAATGAATCTTTGGTAGTTATTAAGCACAAATAAAAAGGTGGCCTCACCACCCAGCTGTTTTTAATCCTGTCTTCCCAGGCTATGTGGGCAGACATACAGCGGTATGTAGCACTTCACCCTACCCTCTCTCTGCTTGGCCCATAGGAAGCTACACATCCCATCACTGCATTGGGATGTTATTTCCTGGCTGAGGGGGTCTGTGGGGACCTGCGCTCTGTCACTGCTCCCAATACTCACACAGCACAATCCATGTTGACAAGAACATTAGCTTAAGAGCCCCGTTACTACACAGGGGAAGTAAGGGGACTGGTCACCCTGAGAGAGAAGCTTCTACAATCCAGTCCTGTGGACAGGAAATTACAGCAGCAACCTTGATCTGCCGAAGAGGATTATTTTTCAAAAAGTAAATGAAACAAAGATTTCTAATATGTACATGGATCTACCATGCTTGAGAAGATAGATTTTGCCTAGAGTGAGGCTTTAAAACGTAAACATAAGACCTTTCTAGAGCTTTGCGTGCTACATGCATTTTTAAATATTTAGCCCTTTCAAAAGCTGTGCCTAGCCATTCATTCTCCCTTTGGACAAAATGCCTTTCCCATATACTTTCCCCAATCAAAGCTAATAAAGTTCAGCACAAATGAATGTGAAAACAATGGGGAAGATGTATTAGGTGTTGTTCCTATCAACAGGGGTAGAACTGTAGAAAAATGACAAATCATTTTGGAATAAGTAGAATAAAATAATGCATATGACATCTTGTGTTAGACTCCATTTGGTGTGGATAAAAATGAAAAACTAATAAGGTTAGTAGAAATATAGCAAATCTATTCAACGCACATGGACTGAACATCTTGTCAGTGTATGATGATCATCTTCTCATGTACCATTACGGGAACCTACCCAAATACAGTCAAGATTCCTAGATAATGTGTTACCTATATAACATTCTGCTGTGCTAACTGCTGTTGTACAACCAGCGACCTCTGAGAATAAACCAGGGCAGAGCTAGAGACTGCTTCCTGGGGTCTTTACCCTGGTCTACTGTCCTAATGTAAGAGGAAGGATGGTTCTCTTAATGTCCCCACATTTCAGTGGCAAGACAGAGGAAATCTAAAGTAAAACCCGTTGTATTCTGTAACAGATCTGAAATACAGTGGGGCAAAAAAGTATTTAGTCAGCCACCAATTGTGCAAGTTCTCCCACTTAAAAAGATGAGAGAGGCCTGTAATTGGCATCATAGGTAGACCTCAACTATGAGAGACAAAATGAGAAAAACAAACCAGAAAATCACATTAGCTGATTTGGAAAGAATTTATTTGCAAATTATGGTGGAAAATAAGTATTTGGTCACCTACAAACAAGCAAGATTTCTGGCTCTCACAGACCTGTACCTTCTTCTTTAAGAGGCTCCTCTGTCCTGCACTCATTACCTGTATCAATGGCACCTGTTTGAACTTGTTATCAGTATAAAAGACACCTGTCCACAACCTCAAACAGTTACACTCCAAACTCCACTATGGTGAAGAGCTGTCGAAGGACACCAGAAACAAAATTGCAGACCTGCACCAGGCTGGGAAGACTGAATCTGCAATAGGCAAGCAGTTTGGTGTGAACAAATCAACTGTGGCAGCAATAATTAGAAAATGGAAGACATACAAGAACACTGATAATCTCCCTCGATCTGGGGCTCCACGCAAGATCTCACCCCGTGGGGTCAAAATGATCACAAGAACGGTGAGCAAAAATCCCAGGACCACACGGGGGGACCTAGTGAATGACCTGCAGAGAGCTGGGACCAACGTAACAAAGGCTACCATCAGTAACACACTACGCCGCCAGGGAATCAGATCCTGCAGTGCCAGACGTGTCCCCCTGCTTAAGCCAGTACATGTCCGGGCCCATCTGAAGTTTGCTAGAGAGCATTTGGATGATCCAGAAGAGGATTGGGAGAATGTCATATGGTCAGATGAAACAAAAATAGAACTGTTTGGTAGAAACACAACTCGTCGTGTTTGGAGGAGAGAGAATACTGAGTTGCATCCAAAGAACACCATACCTACTGTGAAGCATGGGGGTGGCAACATCATGCTTTGGGGCTGTTTCTCCGCAAATGGACCAGGATGACTGACCCATGTACAGGACAGAATGAATGGGGCCATGTATCGTGAGATTTTGAGTGCAAACCTCCTTCCATCAGCAAGGGCATTGAAGATGAAACGTGGCTGGGTCTTCCAACATGACAATGATCCCAAACATACCGCCCAGGCAATGAAGGAGTGGCTTCGTAAGAAGGATTTCAAGGTCCTGGAGTGGCCTAGCCAGTCTCCAGATCTCAACCCCATAAAAAACCTTTGGAGGGAGTTGAAAGTCCGTGTTGCCCAGCGACAGCCCCAAAACATCACTGCTCTAGAGGAGATCTGCAAGAGGAATGGGACAACATACCAGCAACAGTGTGTGCCAACCTTGTGAAGACTTACAGGAAACGTTTGACCTCTGTCATTGCCAACAAAGGATATATAACAAAGTATTGAGATGAACTTTTGATATTGACCAAATACTTATTTTCCACCATAATTTGCAAATAAATTCTTTCCAAATCAGCTAATGTGATTGTCTGGATTTTGTTTCTCATTTTGTCTCTCATAGTTGAGGTCTACCTATGATGCCAATTACAGGCCTCTCTCATCTTTTTAAGTTGGAGAACTTGCACAATTGGTGGCTGACTAAATACTTTTTTGCCCCACTGCAGGTGCAAAGATTCACCTATCAGCAGACTATGGCCCTAAACACAGGCAAAGCTGCACGCCGTGACCTGCCCATTCATAAATTGTGAGATGTGCTATGCAACATGTGGTATCTTATAGGGTTCTCTTAATGCAGCAGAGAGAACTTTGTGATCGGAGATGATCATGTGACTGTTAGGTCACTTGACCAGGATCTCCTATTATTTTTTTTTCTCCTACAACATCCATTCACAACCTCCTGCTTTATGCCCCTTTCGCATGGGTGTCCTGTTCATCGCATTTCACCCCATTCCCAGGGTCTAGTCATGGGGAGTGTGTATCCTTACAACAGGCCAGATGTAAGCAGTCTTAGAGGTCATTCCACCAGGACTCATTTCTAGCTAAAATATTACTTCTGAATGGACTTATTTTATGAAAAAGTAAAACATTTTACTACAGCCATCAAGTCATGGACACCACTGGAAACTACAAAGTAGAAAAAAGTCATCCGCCTCTATTAAAAAAACACTCACCTGCTTTAGAATGTGGCATCAACTTTCTCAAGTCTTGCATCAGATGCCGGGTGCGGAAGCTGATGCCTCGCGAGGAAAATATCAACACCCTCTCCTTATTTTTCCATTTGCCCTGGAAAAAAAAAATATATATATGTACTTTAGATTTTATAAAGAATCAAATGTAATTTATTAACTGGACATTAGTGCCATTACATTGCAGGATATTGCTTAGGTGATGGTGATAAATAGTAAATTAAGAACTTTCGAATGTACTGCCTGGACTTCACTCTTACATTGTTTCTTCATTTTTTTTTCCCCTCATAAGACATTTTTAATAAAGGTTTCATCATTACAAAACTCACATAAACATAAGCATAATAAATTGGTAATGATGACTGATAAAAGGAGGGCCAAGTTTTTTTATTGTGAAAACTTTAATTTAGCTCATGTGGATAAACTGGGTAAAGTTGGGGTATAGAGTTCTGGGGAGGGGTTCTGTGACCCATAGAATGACCTCCATCCAGATTATTAGCATGAATAGGAGATAAGCAGCTGTTGCTACATTTGTTTGGGGTCCAGGCTGTACTTCACTCTAGAGCAAAAACTTCCACAGGAATGGCAGTAAGCTGTAAGAGGATTATGAAGAACAGCTATATGGTAAAAAAAAGTGTCAGTTCACCTAAATATTTTTTTTGTTAGTTAAATGTTAAAACTGTTTTACCTGGCAAAATAGTTGTGTTTCTGTCCATTCAGTTCTGATATTTACACAGCACTGTTACAGTCCTATCTGGCAAAGAAAAGGACCTGTCTTTTCTCCGCTGTGTGATGAGCCACCTAGCTAACAGGTGGGAAGCTTCACTTTCATCATTCACTGTGTGTGCTGCTAGTAATATGGAGTCATGTCAGAGCTTACTGAGCTTCAGAGAGGGCACATTGTTGGTGCCCGCCTAGCCGGTGCCTCTGTGACTGAAGTTGTAAATTTCTTTGCCATGTCGCAAGGTACAGTATCAAATGTTATAACCAGGGTGGATTTGATTTAAATCACTAGTCAGTAAGGCTTGATTTAAATCCTAGTTTTCTACATAAAGACTAATTCTTGCTGGTATAACTTTAATATGCAAGTAGATGAAGATTTTTAGAATAACAACTTTTCGTATTAGTTTTTTTATCCAAAACTCAGCTTTGTCAAAATGTTGGAAATTTTTCTTGTGTTCATTGAGACATTGATTAAAACTGTACTTTTCAAAAGGGGAATACTCATTTATGCTTAGCACTGTATAAACCGCCATTTGTAGACGCTATAAAACTTTCATGCAAACCAATAAATTTACACTTGTTGGGATTTTTTTTTTTAACCAAAAGACATGTAGCAGAATACATTTTGGCCTAAATGTATGAAGATTTTTTGGGATATGTTTTACAGTAAAAAAATAGTTTTTTTTTTAAAAAATTGTCAGACTTTTTTGTTTATAGCACAAAAAATAAAAACCCGCAGAGGTGATCAAATACCACTGAAAGAAAGCTCTATTCGTGGGGGAAAAAATGGACATAAATTTCACTTATGTACAGCGTTGCATGACCGCACAATTGTCAATTGAAGTAATGCAGCGCTGTATAGCAAAAAATGATGGCCTGCTCATGAAGAGGGGGGGGGGGGGGAGATCTTCTGAAGGACAAGTGGTTAATATTTTTAGTAGCGCACAAGCACCCACGCTGACACTTCTCCCCACTCCATAACACAAGGACTGTACCTCTTTCACACAGACATTATGTTCTCGGGTCTGCCGGCCCATTTTTCAGGCAGACCCAATCGGAAGCACCATTGTCCTCTATGGAACGGCTGGGGTGTAAACGGACACGCAACCATTTACACCCACCAGCGTCCAATTCGTCAAAAAGAGATGGATAGGGATCCATTCACCTTCCGTCTGTCGGATCGGATGGAAAGGGACAGGCGGTCCGTTCCCATCCGACTGTCCATAAAGGAGATGGTCTGTGTCCATTCTACATAAGCAGAGCGGACTGGTCATCCAGCTACTCAGCGGGGATCCGGGAGCAGGCAGATCTGCTGACAGCTCAGCATTGTGGGAAAGAGCCCTTACAGACCTACAGCTGGAGGAATAGTCTGCAGGAGGCAGAGCATTGCACCCTTCCCCCATTCTCTGATCACAGTTGCAATGCTCTGCAAGGATTCAATGTAAAGAAATAATGTACATTTCTCGTTATACAATAGGCATGCACGCATTAGCAAAAGCTGGGAACACCATGCAGTCTGAGGCTACTTCACACGGACGTGTCTATGAAGAGCTCAGCCTGCTCGATCTACTCCTACAGATCTCACCTCAGACACCGGGGCCGGCACTGTGTACTCCTCCCCCGCCGCATCCTCCTCACTCGGCCCCCCAATTTCGCTTTTTTGCCCGGTTTAGCCGGCTCTGCATTGAAGCCACGTTTCCTCCTGTAAGCCGCCATCTTTCCCTCCGCCGGAAGTTCCCACCAGCCCGTGCGCACAGAGCACACTACCGCCTCGCTGTTGTACAGGAGCGCCCTCTGCCGGCTACTGGAGAGAACACATAAAGAAGGCTTAGCAGAACGCCTTCTGCGGGTAGCTGGAGGAACACATAGAAAGAGCTTTAGCAGAAACGCCCCCTCTGTTGGTAGCTGGAGGGAACACGTAGAAAGCGCTTAGCAGAACGCCCTCTGCCGGCTGCTGGAGGAAACACATAGAAACAGCTTAGCAGAACGCGTTCTGCTAAGCCCACTCTATGTGTTCCCTCCAGCTACCTGCAGAGGGCGTTCTATTAAGTGCTCTCTATGTGTTCCCTCCAGCTACCCACAGAGGGCGTTCTGCTAAGCTGTTTCTATGTGTTCCCTCCAGCTACCCGCAGAGGGCGTTCTGCTAAAGCTCTCTCTCTGTGTTCCCTCCAGTTACCAACAGAGGGCGTTCCGCTAAACTCTATGTGTTTTCTCCAGCAGCCGGCAGAGGGTGTTCTGCTAAGCCCTCTCTATGTGTTCCCTCCAACTACCAACAGAGGGCGATCTGTTAAACTCTTTCTATGTGTTCCCTCCAGTTAAGAGCTTAACAGATCGTCCTCTGTTGGTAGCTGGAGGGAACACATAGAAAGAGCTTAACAGATCGCCCTCTGTTGGTAGCTAGAGGGAACACATAGAGAGGGCTTAGCAGAACGCCCTCTGCGGGTAGCTGGAGGGAACACATAGAGAAGGTTTAGCAGAACGCCCTCTGCGGGTAGCTGGAGGGAACACATAGAGAAGGTTTAGCAGAACGCCCTCTGTGGGTAGATGGAGGGAACACATAGAGAGCACTTAACAGAACGCCCTCTGCCGGTGCTGGAGGGAACACATAGAGAGGGTTTAGCAGAACGCTGGAGGGAACTCGTGGAGAACACAGCAAGATGTCCTAAACTGTCTTTTCTCCCTGTATGGATATATTATACAGTGGTCTTGGTATTCAGGTCAAAGCTCTTAGGGTTTGTTCACACTTGACTAATTTCTAACGCCTCCAAAACGCCCCTATAGCATTAGACAGGCGTTAAGCATGCTTGTTATACTTAAACAAATAAGTAGTGTAGCGCTCTTTAACAAATATATATGTACCAAAATATGCTAAATTTAATCCTAAAAATAAAATAAAAATACTCCTTCATATATAATAATCAAATACAGATAAGATTAGTGCCAAACTAAAATCCATTCCCCACTTGATATAGTGAGTGCCTATTAGTAAATATCACAGTGCACACACACCCTATAACAAACACAAATAATACAAAAGGCTATATCCAATAAAGGATAATAAAGTATAATACACAGTGCTCACACAGTGCCAAAGTAAAACAGTGTCCTCTAAATTGGAACAAACTCTTAGCAATGTCCTTTTGTGAAAACAATATAATCATGCAGTGTAAAATGGTGATATATCCGTGATTGTGTCAAAAACACTTCTCCTGATAAGGGCTAGATTGCCTCCTCACCTCCTCCCAAGTGACCCCAAAGGGCCAAACAGGCTTGCAGGATCTCCCTGGATCCTTGGTTTATAATGGCCAGCAGCTTCCTTCCTTTACTGGGTCTCCTTATTGGGGCTCCTATCGCCCCTGGACATCCAAGATTTTTTCTGGAGAATAATAGCTCACCAATCCAGTGAGCCAAGAAGAAACTCTAAGTGCAGTATTTCCAACCACTTTCTTTTATTAAAGGTTAAAGAGTGACACTCACATTTCAGAGCAGTCTTCCCTCCTCACCGATGTGTGGGTACACTGCATGTGAATGGGACTTCCTGGGTGTAGTAAAATGGCGTCGCACGCCGGAAGTGCGTCACCACGCACCGGAACTACGGACTCGCGAACCTACGCGTTACGTCACGTCCGTCTGCTCGTGACTTCCTCTGGGTGTCTACTTACGAGCGCAGTCCCTCCCTTTATACCGGACCTAATGCTTAGCCTCAGTAACGGACCGCCCTACATGCAATCAGCGGTGCCCGCGCCATTTTCTCGGCGGCATCTCCCATTCTAACCGTGGCCATTTTTCATAAGCCCTTTCTTATTCGATATGTTATGCACAAATACATATGGAATGGACCAGGGAAATCTCTTAGTCCACGGAACACACTATGGGAGTCATTAACTAAAAAAAAAAAACGGAGAATCCTATAAGAATATTTCATTAAAAATGTTTTTTAAAAAAAATGATTACTTTAGAAAATATTAGAAACTTTATTATACTTTTTAAACTCTCAAAAATCAATCTAAAATTAATTTATTTATAAAAACTATTTATATATATACATAAGTACACATGTATATATCTCTGTATATCTCCACCCACTCTCAAAGACTGGGGGATAACCCGAGGGAATAACATATTATATACTTCACACTCCTCCTGACAAAAAAATAATGATGTTGGAAACCTACATAAAAAAATATATATATTAATAAAAAAAATTACAAATTTTTTTTTTTAAAAAGACTAAAACTACCTTTTCATCATGTAATCTACCCACACATTTACATGATTCATTATTGCAATGCTAAATGCTGTAAACCAGCGGCAGTATCCACACAATAATAATTAATATCAATCACATAGAATAAAATGAAACATGAATATAATAAAAATATATATAAATATAGTAAAATGATTCTTGCCATCTCCTATGGGTACCGGTTATAATTTGGATATAGTAATGATATATATAGGTTCGATTTTTTTGATATATATAAATACATAAAAATTACTTCAATTATAAATGCATAATTAACTCAATAGTCGCTGATAAAGCAATTTAAATCGAACTCAACGTTTAACCCTTTGGGGACCTGTGTATTCATATAATAGATCCACCTGGATTCAGCCTGGCTCAGGGATTTTATTTTATTTTGGTCCCCCTCCAGTGTTTCTTGAATTTCTCAATCCCCCAAAATTTCATTTTACTGGGGTCCTTGTTATGGTACATGGCAAAATGTCTCGAAACACTGTGTTTGGGGAACCCTTTATAAATATTTTGCACATGTTCCCTGAGTCTTTTCCAAAGTGGCCTCTTTGGCCTCTATGCTTCTAAGCATTCTCCAGACAGAGGGTCAGGGGTTCTGCATCCTCCTAGAGCAGAAAGAAAACTCCTCCTACAAGCTTTAACCAGTCTTTTGCTGAACACTGATAGAATTCACAAGACTGCTATATACTGCTGATGAGAAAAGGTATTTAGCAGTTTATATTTACTAAAATAATTGCATTTCCATGTTGCGTGTACTGTGGGAGAACAGATATAGTGAATGCAGGGTCCTGGGAGAGCAGATATAGTGAATGCAGGGTCCGGGGAGACCGGATATAGTGAATACAGGGTCCGGGGAGACCGGATATAGTGAATGCAGGGTCCTGGGAGACCAGATATAGGGAATGCAGGGTCCGGGGAGACCAGATATAGTGGATGCAGGGTCCTGGGAGACCAGATATAGTGAATGCAGGGTCTGGGGAGACCAGATATAGTGAATGCAGGGTCCGGGGAGACCAGATATAGTGAATGCAGGATCCGGGGAGACCAGATATAGTGAATGCAGGATCCGGGGGAGACCAGATATAGTGAATGCAGGATCCGGGGAGACCGGATATAGTGAATGCAGGGTCCTGGGAGACCAGATATAGTGAATGCAGGGTCCGGGGAGACCAGATATAGTGAATGCAGGATCCGGGGAGACCGGATATAGTGAATGCAGGGTCCTGGGAGACCGGATATAGTGAATGCAGGGTCCGGGGAGACCAGATATAGTGGATGCAGGGTCCTGGGAGACCAGATATAGTGGATGCAGGGTTTAATAACACTTTCGGCTTGATAAAAATGGCAGTTTAAGATGTAAAAAAATATTGCAATGTTTCAAACTGCAAGGATTGTTTGAATATTAAAAACAAACAGTTTTGCTGAAACGTTGACTTTTTTGCTGCTGATTTTTTGGAAGACATCAAAGTGTAACTAAAGGCAAAACCTATTTTTTTAGTTTTTGATCGAGTGGAGAGGGATTAGATCCCCTGTCAGAATTTTATTGCTGTCTGTGTCCCCGTTAGGGAGATTTACCCTCTCCACTTATGTTTATCATTATCACCAAAAGTAACAGGAAATCCCAAACCTAGATTTGTCCCCAGAACAGAAATAGAAGGGAACGCTTCCAATGGGGACACTAGTTCTGGTGACTCTGGAGTCACAACTGGATCTCCCCAGTGGGACACAGATGGCAAAAAGAAACTGACAGGTGTTATAATCCTCCCTTTATCTATCCACAATGAAAAAAAAGTTTTGTCTTTAGTTCTAGTTTAAAGAAGTACATCTGAAGCTCTTTTGGCCGTACCTCTCCTGCAGATCACTGGAGTACAGTTCGTTTTGCACTCCTGTGACCCATTTTTAGCCGACAGTGGACTGAAATCTGCTGTCAGCGGACATCATTCAGCCGGTCCATGCTGGGGAAAGATCCTGACTTTAAAGGGGGATACAGTCACTTTTTCACAGGTAAATGCTACGGTCTCATCTACACCTTAAACTGTCTCACTGCAACGCACTGACTTTCTGCAAAACTCAGGATAATTAGTCCTATATCTTTTTGTCTTTGTGGTGATTGATTCTCACCTACTTTTGCCTTTCTGTGATCAGAGAATCAATCATCTTTTAAGACTTTGGTCTGTGTCTGTGGCTGGTCTGGTCTGGTTTTGACCAACCTCCCCCCAAATTCATGTGATCCTTATCAGTTCTTAATTGGGGTGGAGAAGAGTTGCTCATTATTTTAATTTATTTCAGGTACTTATATAGCGCTGTCAATTTACGCAGCGCTTTACATATATATTGTACATTCACATCAGTCCCTAACCCTCAAGGGGTGTACAATCTAAGGTCCCTAACTCACATTCATACATACACATACTAGGGACAATTTAGACAGGAGCCAATTAATCTACCAGCATGTCTTTGGAGTGTG